ACACTTGTCCGTGTGTCTGTACGGAAGCAGAGAAAACACACACAAACACACAAACAACACTTGGTTTAACCAAACTATAACATATTCAATAAAACATCATCGTCAGTATGTGAAATGAAGTTGAGAAGGAACAACATGATTCACCATTATTCAATTCACCATATTCACAACGAATTGTACACGTTGTCGATTACAATGAATCAGAGTTAGCGCATCATTGATTAACTCATCAGCCACCTCACCTTTTGAATGGAAATTACTTTACATTGTAAATGGCAACAATATGTGGAGCGACAATGGAAATGCGTTCTAGCTTGACAAAGTCACATCGTTAGAAGCAACCGAACCATTGTAAGTCAATCATACTTTGCTGTGTGGAGTCTCGAAACTCAAGCAGCTCACTTTATGAAACAAGACAGAAGCAAAGATCAGTGAGCATAGTGTTAGCTTTCTGTTACAATCATATGCTTTTCTGACTGAACAAGATTTATCTTCATTTCTTTGAGAAGAATTGTTTATGTATCCACAACAACATTCAGATGTTCAAATATTGTTGTGGATACATAAACAATTCTTCTCAAAGAAATGAAGATAAATCTTGTTCAGTCAGAAAAGCATATGATTGTAACAGAAAGCTAACACAATGCTCACTGATCTTTGCTTCTGTCTTGTTTCATAAAGTGAGCTGCTTGAGTTTCGAGACTCCACACAGCAAAGTATGATTGACTTACAATGGTTCGGTTGCTTCTAACGATGTGACTTTGTCAAGCTGGACAAACATTTCCATTTTCGCTCCACATATTGTTGCCATTTACAATGTAAAGTAATTTCCATTCAAAAGGTGAGGTGGCTGATGAGTTAATCAATGATGCGACAACTATGATTCATTGTAATCGCCAACGTGTACAATTCGTTGTGAATATGGTGAATTGAATAATGGTGAATCATGTTGTTCCTTCTCAACTTCATTTCACATACTGACGATGATGTTTTATTGAAAATGTTATAGTTTGGTTAAACCAACTAGTCATGAATTTCACTGAGTATGGCTGTAGCACATGAAGTTGTTTCATTGGTTTTCATTGAAATGATGAATCGATCAGTTTTAGAGCATTAGATATTTGAAGCACTGAAAAAATGCTACATCTTATCATGAAACGTATCCTCATTGAGAATTGAAGATAAATGAAGCAGAAAGGAAGCTGAACACCTTCAATTTTATTGTTTGATATTGCCAGTGCCGAAAGACGGCTCAGTGGAAAAGAGGCTAATTGTTCACACTTGACACGAAATTCCTGAATCTGATTTGGAGCTAATATGTTGAACACTGTATTAGTGCAGCTGCTTTTCATTTGGTTGTCACATTAGGCCTTCTGTGTTTTGTTTTTACATTTACTCGTTTGATGACGTTGCATCCAGTTTCCGGAATCTGCTATTTCAGTAAATCTGACTGCTTAAACAGAATCGGCATCCTTTAGAATCTCAGGTTTTATTCCATGGAAGCCTCCTACTCCCTATCGCCTTAGTTTGTCCATATCGTTTTCGATTTCGTTGAGAGTCGGAGCGTTTTTACATCAACTTGTTATTCACGTTGAATGGTGGTGGTGAGTTACCGAGGTGCGACTGAAGGTCAGTTGAACTGCTCCCTAAACCTTTCTTCTCATAAATCCAATCCTCTTGAATGAGAGTGAATAACGGTCCTATCCTTTTGTAACAGAGTATCTCTTACATCCGGACTACTAATGCTAGTCTCCTTGATAAGGCCAAACATTTGTCTACTGCCATGTATCGCCATCGCCTCCTTTTCCCTTTCTCAGGCTTTGCTACCCACCTCTGCTCACGATCTATGCATTGAAGATGCCTTGATTGCAAATGAAAATGAGTAGCAAGATGTAGTGCATCTCTGAGTATGCTAGACCTACAATGGTCGGTCAAGTACGGTTACATTGTTTCCCTCAGTCTCATGAAGTAAGCTGATTCAGTCAGCCTTTGAGATGGTGGAGAAAACTTGTAGCTCAGGTGGATGATTTTGGTGGTGTTTCGTTCTCTGAGCTGGTTGTTTTGTTCTCCAAATGAGCTGCACCGATTGTGGTGGTCAAGAAGTCAAACGGCAGTGTCCGTCTATGTGCTGATTACTCTACGGGACTGAATGATTCTCTAGAACCCCACCAGTATCCCTTGCCTATACCTGAGGATCTTTTCGATAAGCTAAATGGAGGCAAGGTGTTTACAAAACTGGATTTATAGGAAGCTTATTTACAGATTCCTGTCGCTGATGAAAGTAAAGATCTGCTTACTATTAACACACATAAGGGCCTATTCAGATATAATCGGTTACATTTTGGAGTCAAAACTGCGCCCTCCATATTTCAACAGGTGATGGACACTATGCTACATGATCTCTTTGGCGTTGCAGCTTACCTAGATGACATAATAATTATGGGCGTTGATAGAATAGACTTAGAAAAGAAGCTCGACCAGGTGCTATCGAGAATAGCTGAATATGGATTCCGGCTTCGTGTGGAAAAATGCGACTTTTTCATGCAGAGTGTACGCTACCTCGGTTTTATTATCGATAAAGACGTTAAAAAAACCATATCTAAAAACATAAAAGTTGCGACGGGGCTTACAATTCACAATGTCAATTACCCTTGAACAGATAGAATCTTTACTGGAACGTCAAGCAAAACGATATGAACAGTTCCAGGAACGTATGTTGGAGTTGTTAATGAAACAAATGAATTTGAATCACAGAGGTCCTACCGACGACTCATATAATGCACATACAGACTCGGTAGTTAATTCCATTCATGAATTTCATTTTGATGGCCTTGCGGGTGTGACTTTCGAGTCATGGTTCAAGTAGTATGAGGATTTATTCAAGGTCGACCTCAACAAACCTGATAAAGCCAACAAAGTCAGAATCCTCTTGACAAAGCTCGGCATAATCGAACACGAACGTTATAGTAATTTCATCCTCCCAAAGAACCCACGAGATTTCTCTTTTGATGCTACAATTGAAACGCTGTCGCAAATCTTCTCTGAACAGTCATCTCTCTTCAATATTCGTTATCAATGCCTCAAAATAACCAAGTCAAATGAAGATGACTGGGTAAAGCACGCCGGCTTAGTAAATCGTGAATGCGAACGATTTAAATTATCATCAATGACGGAAGATCAGTTTAATGCCTTGTGTTTGTGTGCAGCTTACAATCTCCCGAAGATGCTGATATAAGAACCAGAATCCTAAGTAAAATTGAGCAGTGCCCAAACATCTCGCTTCAAGAAATAACTGCAGAGTGCCAGAGATTAGTAAATTTGAAGCATGATACCTCCATGGTCGAAAACAATGGCCGTCCATCATACGTGCATGCCGTAAGTGAAAAGAAAAATTCCGGCTCACAAAATCATCACAAGAGCACAGACAACCAGCCCCCATCTTCATGCTGGTCATGTGGAGGTTGACACTACGAGAAGTTTTGTCCATACAACAATTATGTTTGCACTAAATGTCACAAAAAGGGTCACAAAGAAACCCGATGTAGGACAAAAACTCGCAGACATTACTCCGAGAAAGTCGATTCCAAGAAATACAGTTCTGGTAAGCCAATAAACCGAGTACTGGTGTCTCATAACCAGACAGGAATTCACCGCAGAAGGAGGTATGTGACTGTGGATATGAATTCACACCGTATCCGTCTTCAGCTTGACACGGCATCTGATATCACACTTATCAGTCCAAAAACTTGGGAAAAAATTGGTAGACCTACAGTTGACCAAACGAAGCAACTAGCACACAGCGCATCAGGTGGCAAATTAAATATTGTTGGGGAAATATTGTGCACTGTTTCAAAAAATGAGGCAACCACGAGTGCAATTGTATACATAACTAAGAAACCAGACCATGATTTATTGGGGTTGGATCTCATAGATGCATTAAAACTAACAGACCATTCTATCAACAACATCTGCAGCCGAGTAAGAATCCATAAACCTTTAGAGTCAAGTCTGAGAAATGCCATTATGAAAAGGCATCATCAGGTATATTCGGAAGCGTTAGGCGAATGTACGAAAGCTAAAGCACTACTGACTCTCAAGGCAACAGCTATTCCTGTACCTTATGCTTCTCTCGGTAGTTGAACAGGAACTGGAACGACTGCAAAGAAAAAGAAAAAAATCTTATTCTGGGTAGGTGTTGGGATAGCCAATCGAGAAGAAAGCCACGCACATTGTGGATTGATGGACTATTTAATTAATGTTCATGATAAACTATTTCATTATTGATGAACTATATGATTAATGTTCATGATAAACTATTTCATTAATGATGAACTATATGATTAATGTTCATGATGAACTATTTGATTCATGTTCAAAATATTTAACGACATTTATATAATTGTATAAATACGCATGTTTGATTGTATATTTTTGATTCTGATAATAAGCGTTCTCCAACGTCTTCCGTTATTCTAATATTTGAACGGAGGCGTCTAACGTTCGGTGAGTCATTAGTACAGTGGTTTGGCGTTACATCAAGTACAAAACATAAAAGTGGCGACGGGTATGGGAAACTGATAGTAATCTATGCTCTACAATGAGTAACTGGATTAAGTAGGCAAATAAGTTCATCGACAGATTTTAATGCGTAATTATCACTTGAATACGTGAATAGTTAGTGAAACAATTAATCGTAAATACACAACAAACCATGTTTTATTTATCTACCTTTCGTCAAATAAAGCAATAAATTTTTTTCTTTTAGAAATTATGGTCAATAAATGTACGTTCAATTTACTATTCTATATCTTGATATTATTATTGTTGTTCATTCATTAACCTTGAATTATATAATATTCACCACAATAATACTAATGGTAGTTTTATTTATCTGGTCTATTTTGATGTGTAGGTCAAGTTTGACATTGACATTGCTTCTACTGTTATTTAATTAAAAGCTAATTTCTACAACAATAGAATTAAATTTCTTTGATACTTACAGTTTTTTTTCTCTGGTATTTCACATTTAACTAATGTACATTTGTTTAACTTCTAGAAAGTTATTTCAAAAACCAACTCATTAACAAACAAAGCTAATTAGTTTCACTGAATGAATTTTTTAAACAAACACAAACATTTTTTTATTCATATTTAAAATAAAAAGATTTTATTTCTTTTAAACAAATTTGTGAAATGACACGATGACTGTATTCTGGCGTATATTTCTTTTCAGCCTACTATTTATAGCACAGGTAAATGAAAGTGAGTTACTTCAGCATTATTCCGCATAAATGAGATCTGTTGTTGTTATTAAGGCAGCTTATGATTACTTTTCATTGAAGGCAACGATGATATTTGTGTATGGAAACTTGTTATTTCATAGCGCCTAGTTACTTAGTCCGACTGTCTGCCAATATAAAGAATGGAAATATTCTACTGTCCATTTGGATCGAGTCAAAACGAAGTAGGAACACTTACAGTTACACAACCTTGTGTATCCTCAATCAACTTAACATTCGCGTCAGGGTCCGATGACGTCAAATCACTAGAAGGCTCATTCGATGAAGTAGATCGACTAGTCACTATAGATGGATCGCTCACGCTTTCTGTCTCCTTACTATCGCTGCCAATACTAAGATTCTGATGACTACTATTTCCATTGCTAGTCATAGCATCCGAAAGAGAACGAAGTTTACGCTTCTTAATAATAGTAGCATCATGTCGCTTCTTATGCTTCTTAGCTTATGTAGCAGTATGTGAACCTAATATACGATCATTTCGATGTCGATGAGTGTCTCTCGATGTCCTTCGATCACGATTACTCGCAGGAGTTTTATCAAAGCTATTATAATTAGTAGCCGCAGCTGTACAAGCAGCAGTACACTTCTCATGATATCCATTCGACTCATGCACAGTGTCCAACTCTACTCGATCAACATTGCTTACCTTACTAGGAATGCTCTTAACCTCATCTATCTAATCACTGTTGGTAGTGCTCATCCCGATACTTGTAGTACAGGTCAATGATGGTGGAGTGCGACAGGTGGACAATTTCATGCTCCATTCCTCATGCTGCATATTGAACACAACAGCATGTCCATCAAAGCTAGATGACTCCTCATTGCACCCAGGGCACTGAATGTTAGCCCTCTCAGTAGTGTTATCACTGTGGCTGACGCTATTGCCACCGACGCCTACATTCTCCACGCTCAAACATCCAAATTTGTCTTGATCCGAAGTTCTCAAAGAAGCTACATTAGCAACGTCAACCGACGAAACAGCACTACCTGTAGTGATTCCACTCTCGTTAGCATCACGTTTATTATTCACAGCAAACATAGTTTTCCAAAATAATCCCAATGTGCGTTCCGTAGGAAGTCTCTCAAAGTCAATCTCTTTCACGGCTTCTACTCTCTCTTCTGGATGAATTGATTCGAGAACCGGTAAACAGTTACTTATCCACTTGGTAAGTCTGAACCCACCTTTTCTGAAGAGTAAACCAAGGGTTTTTGCAAGCTCGATTGCACCCTGCATATTATCAATTGAAGTTAAATAGTCGTCGACATAAAAACTATTATCTACTACTTCCTGGACATCTTTATTCAATTCCTTGCCGAGTATATCTACCGTCTTCCTAAGAGCGAAATTAGCGGCTAATGCCACGTTGCATAATCTGAATCGTAGAAGTATACCAATTAAACTAGTTGCAACCCCGGTAGGGTTATGTCCTTTAAATGTTTCCACCTTCTCAGCTAGAGTTCGGTTAAAGGTTGTGCATAATCGATCGGAAGATTCTTGGTCGTATAGGCCTTGTTGATCTTTATAGAACCCCGTTCATCTAATGAAAATACCTCTAAATTTACTTCCAGAAATTCACAAGTAGAAGTCCCATTCCCAGTCGTCACCTTTATTGAAGTCTTCTTACATTTGACACCTAACGGATTAATTATCTCTTCGCATACAATGGAGGAATCTGAACCATTATCTAGAAGGGCGTACGTTTCCAGAAACCTTTGGGGCCATATAGTCTTACCGGAATGATACCCAAACAAACCTTTGAGAAATTTCCAATCCTTAGCAAAGTTCACCACATTATTAATAGACACATGAGGTTTCACATCAATCAACCTTGACATTACTGTTGTCAACAATGATGTTCCGACTATTCACAGTTAATGACGAGTTGCGAGATAGTTGGCATGTAGGCTTTAAAGCTAAGCTACCACTGGTGCCACTTACACGAACACTATTGATGTTGCTGTGACTACCTAGACTAGTATACAACCGTACATCAGTTGACTGAAAACAAACATCAGCAGGACGCGCTAAGCTGCTGTTGTCTTTCACTTCACTATTATGACACTCCGTAGAACTAGATACAGTAGCCGACAGCAACATGAAGGGCTGTGTCACTGTTTACGCTTGCAATCCTAGGATCAGCTCTAGGTCGTGTCAAATAATTTACCCTACGCGAAGGGTTCAGAACATAAGCTTCGTTCCGTATAGTCAAACCTGTTTTGTCCTTATTCATATTCACTGTACTCATCAACCTCCGTTTGCTCGAATCCAAATTATCATTCCTTTCATTTCGAGCAGTTAAGAAGCTTCTACCATCACATACCTCGGATCCGTCTTGATGCCTAACCTTTCTGTCTATTTCCTTCTTTGCCATCCTCAAAAAGGCCACCTTGTCTGCTTCAGGTATCGACCTCTCACTAGGATACACATCAAGGGATGTTAAACCATCAGGGTTACATGCTCGGTCTTCAAGAGGATATAACTTTCTAATACAATTGACGACTCCCTTACGTTCCGGGTGTGAGGTAGGTGCAAACACATTTGAAGAATTCTCCTGTCTCTCACGCAGATGACTAGTCGCTTCCATATCGTTTTCCATGACCTTACATTCTAATTCGGCCATATCAACCTCCTTTTCAAGATCTAACATTTTAAGCTGCCTTTCTAACTCAAGTCTCCTTTGCAAATTCTTCTTCTTTAGTAATGCCTTATCTAACCTCAATCTAGAAGTACTAAACTGAGCTGGGGACTTACTATTAACACTTATATCATCACGTTTATCATCATCAAAATCAGACATACCACAGACAGCTTTAGAAATTTTACCATCCATTTCGTCATTTTCCTTCGGCTTTTTGCTTCTGGTTTCCATTGTATGCTTTTGTTCGAAAATCGGTTTGTAAAACAAGCCTACTACAGTCTGATTATTAAGAAGAATAAAGAAACATTTGGGATTTTATTCGTTTATAATATTAAACTTTTTGGAAGAAGAACCTAGGATTGCTTATCGTGTTTTTTGTGATCGAACTGTATTTTGGAAAACGATTTACTGATTTTGGATATTTCTTATTGAGAACTTACCTGTGGAATTCCTATATTTTGTATTTGTCATTTATATTCCGTTGAACTTCACTTAAAAATGAGCAACCGCAAGAAAACAAACACAAAGAGGGTGGAAGAGCTTGAAGAACCCCGAAATGCTAGGCATGTTGTTGATGATTCTTTTTTAATGGGTTCCCACTTTATTCGTGATGTTGTTATGTTTGATACTTATTATTGTATGTCACCCTTGGAAGGCATTAAGTAACAAAGTTTAAGAGAGAGTTCTAAGGTACCAGAGAAGGATCAGATGCTTAGGACGCCGATAGTAGGCTGAAAACTACCTAAGGTTGAACTCTCATTCTTTGAAGGTGAACCTCGCGACTACTTTAGATTCATTAGACAATTTGAATCGTTTATAGAACCCAGAGTAAGGGATGATAATTTGCGTTTATTATATTTAATTCATTATTGTAAAGGAAAAGCAAGAAATGCGATTGAAGGTTGCATTATAATGGATCCACAAGTGGGATATAAAAGAGCTAAGGCTATTTTAAAACAGCTCTTTGGACAGTCACATGTTATAGCCCGTGAAACTTTAGAGGACTTGTTTAGAACCGGGAATGCCGATTATAATGATCCTGACTTATTGAAGAATTTGGCGGTTAAAAAGCAGAATGCTGCTCTAATCATAGAAGAGGTAAATTGTACAACGGAACTTAATTCCCTGGTTACTTTAGAACGAATAGTTAGGCTCTTACCTCATCGAATGCAAGCCCAGTGGGTAGAGCTGGGAATCAAGTGGGACGAAGAGGAAAGAGAACCTAATTTCAATGAATTGACGGATTTTATTATGTCTCGTGCTAAGATAGCTAGTAGTAGGTTCGGGAGGTTAGCTTATCGTGCTAAAACAGGACATGGTACCGAAGCTATTAGTGATCTGCGTGCGAGACATGAGGATTCTTCGTTTACACCTAACTCACACCCGGAATTTAAGAGAGTTGTTAATTGTATCAGAAAAGTATACCCTGTTGAAAACCGAGTATGTGACCGCGATGATTTAAAATCCCTTGATGCGTATCCCAGTAACAAGCCGGTTTGTGTAGCAGATAAGATGGCTTTTTTAAGTATGGAAAAGAAAGAAAAAGGCGAAAACGGTAGGGATCATGATTGATCCGAGGTGTGTGATGGTAAAAGCCTCTTAACGGCTCGAAAAGCAAGGAACGGTTATTTGGATTCGAGAAAACAGAGGTTAGTGAGTTCATGAATAAGGACAAAACAGGATTGGCTGGATGGAATAAAGCCTATGTTCGTAACCCTTCACGTAGGGTAAATTATTTAACAGGACCTAGAGTTGATTCTAGGACAACAAGTGTGAATAGTGACACAGCACTTCATGTTGCTGAGCAATCAGGATGTTTGCGGGCTACTATATCTAGTTCTATAGAGCATCATGCTAATAAAGCGGAAGATATTAGCAGCTTAGCGAGTCCTGCTGATGTTTGTTTACGGTCGACCGATGGACAGTTGTACACTGGTTCAAGTAGTCATAGCAACATTAAAAGTGTTAGTGAAAGTGGTAGCATAGCTTTAAAGCCTGCATGCCGACTATCTTGCAACTCGTCATTAACTATGAATAGTCGGAACATCATTGTGGACAACAATAACGTCAAGGTGGAAGTGAAACCTGATGTATCTAATAATAGCGTAGTTGA